TTCCCATCACATTCAAGAAGAGGACATTGTTTGGGATCACGTGTCCTAACACTACGTACTTGTCGAAGGCCTCGGGACGCACTTCGCCGATCGGCACGAAGAATGTGTGATATCCGGGTCTCTCGAAAATGGACTCCTGTTTATTAGCGGTGATCTTCTGGTAATAGGCGTCCCATCGTTCGTCGATGCCATAGATGCCGGGATTACTGATCAGTTCCAACGCGAACGGAGGTAATGGCGACGACGGTATGTACGGCTCGAGAGCCTCGTCGATGATGTACAAGATCTGCTCCCCTCCGGTGCCCTTTAATGAGTACTCTTTGATGATCTTCGCGTTATTCACGTAAAACTCTTTGGTATCCTGTTGGAAGTACTCGTGATGACCGATGGGTCGACGCTCTTTGTAGTTGAGATAGAGGGGCGCCGCCTCCTGAAGGGCAGAGCTCACGTTGTAGGGGAAGGCGTCCTTCTTCACCACCAAACCCACTGTTAGATAACGGAATCGGGAATTGAGTTTTCAGCACGTTTTCCATTAAAATTTATTTAATGTATTGAATGAAAGGATTGTAAAATTTAATTAAGAGATGATGTCATTATCAGTGACTGAATGTCTATAACAATCAACTGTTTTTTCTCTTCTTGTTTTCCTAATGATTGCCTAAAGTCTATCATTAAAAACATTGAAATCGGCTATTGATTTGTGCCGAAAGCCGAGTGCACTAACACTAACGCAATAGGAATTCAATACACTTTAAATCAATTATTCATAAAATATTTATAATAATTACAGTGTATGGAAATCAATGGGATGTTTATCTCAAAGAGAATTATTCTTTGTTATACATGTATACTGTGTATAGTGTTATTGTTATACATTATTTAGCAAAACATAACACAGAATTTCCGAGTTTTGCGACAATGAATTACTATTAAGCCAATGATCAACACGTCTATTGTGTGCGTGTTTTTTGTGTTCACAAAAAATTTCATTTTCTCTCTTTTCTCGAGAAATTGATGACATTTTTTAGGCTTAAAACCTAAAAAACTTTGGCAACACATGAACCAAGTTTTCGCTCCCAAATCGACACTTAAAAGCCATATATAACTATTTTAGAGGACATTTATTGTTGTTAAAGGAACCCAAACAATGTCCTCTTCTTGAATGTGATGGGAAAGGAGTCGTACCGCTCGGCCGCCAACGAAGTGAATTAGTTGTGGCTCTCAATCAATCAATAAGTTTGTAGTGTTTGTATAGTTATCCCTGACTTCACTTGATGTCTGGCGTGAAGAGAGAGAGAGAGAGAGAGAGAGAGAGAGAAAAGGGAGAGAGTGAATGGGACTTGTTATGCAAAGTTTGCTGTTTGTATTTCATAGGAATTTATTAAATCAGCGCTTTTTATCTCAACAATTCATATCCAACAAACATATTGTGAATATCAGGCAAAAAGTATTTCTATTTTTACGCTCCGATTAAATGCTTGTATTGTAAGCAATAGTGTAGTCATTGCTATAAATAGCTAATTGCATCTTAATTGATCTCAACTGCCGGTGCCTTTCACTACCAGAGTTCCCAAACAGTGATCATCTGAAGCACCCCAACAACTGTCACTTGTGTTTAATGATCTCTTATGTAAAGCACTGTTAGATAACATTGAATTTTTTTGCTTTTTTATCTTCGCTTTTTTGACAAAACCATTATTAAAAGTTTTGTCAGAATATTAATGAGTGAAAAGACAAAGCTCTGGTAATCCCGTGCCTACCAGTGCCTAATGTGTTGTCAATAATAGGCAAATGAGACGTTATATGAGCGAAAAATATGTCGAGTGTCTTAAGTCGGACTCCATTAGTAATCGGATCCCTTGTTATTCCTACCACTTATTTCAAGACATATTTAGCCGCAAAGATGTGTTCATTTCTATATGAGTTATATTTCTAGTTATTCAGTAGTGTTTGTCGCCAAACATCACAATACGTGTTGAATGCTTGTTAATGGTGTGGGAAAAGTATGTATTCAATCAAATAACTGCCATTTTAATGACGCTTATAAAAGTATTAACATTATGGTTAAAACTATAATTTGATTATCGTCTCTATAATAACGAGTATGAGGTATACATTTGAATACTATTTCATTGAATTATCATAAATAAAAACATCCGCTCTCTTCACGCCAGACATCAAGTGAAGTCAGGGATAACTATACAAACACTACAAACTTATTGATTGATTGAGAGCCACAACTAATTCACAAATTGATTTTCATATACAATGTAAATGTTAAATAAATAGTAAAAAATACCATTTTATATTTTCAATGGCATCTTCTTCATTAAATTATATCATATAATATTATCTATATCTTAGATAAATCGGTTACGGCTCTGGAATTTGGGACTCAAAAAGTAATTTCAGTAAAAATAAAATTGTATTCAATTTCTACAGTGTATTAAAGTATGAACTAATGTCTTAAAGTGCTGTATATCTCGACCGCATTGTCAGTGGAATATATAGTCTTTGAGGGGAAACACCGATTGCTATCAATATATCATATACGGTGTGCTGAACACCAGACTATTGTTTAAGTTATCATTGATTATCAATTTGAGTGAATAAACCCCGAATAAAAGTCCTTATATTGTCTAACAGTTGAGACATTTTATTAATAGTCGATTATATATGGCTTTTGTGTTCAAACAAATTGTTTAACTAAATTGCAAAAAAAGGTCCACAAAGAGGGGGTGGGAGGGGGTTATGTCATACCGGCGTGATATGAGGCCACTTTGTCCAACACATCCTTATGAAGACGTTTGTTCTCCAGCTTAACGATGGCTGAGTTGATGGGCGCGAACACAGTGGCCGACTTGTGCTGCATAAACAATTGGGTCACGATATCCCTGTCCACCAGCTCTTTGAACTGTCAATTCAAATATCAAAATACATTAGAAATCAATTATAACATCAGTATTATATGTCTAATAATATTGATTAGAAATGAGTTTTGCAATTAAATAATGCATTAATAGACAGACAGTCGTGAGAGAAACGCGATTAATATTTGTGCAAAAATATTTGCTCCACTTTTTTGTTTGAATCGATTTTTCTATTATTTTTATTTTTTGGTTTAAATGTGTTTTTGTTTTTTATATAACAATTGATCGAAAATTCAGTATTTTATGGGAATATGAAATGTGCGATAAATTTACACAAATGTATTGTTAGTTTAGTAAAAAAAAGTATCTCAAATATCATGATATTCCTCTCAAAACACTTGTTTATATTGCATATGAATTTGATGTTTAAATAAGAAGAAAAACATTCAAAAGAAAGTTATGTTACGATGTCTTATGGCGTGTGTGTGTTGTTTGTGACACTGAAATAATAGTCGGATATGAGATAACTATCGATGAGAGCCAGACATGCAGTAAAGGGACACAAGAAATAGAGTTTTCACGAACGATGGTCTCTATACTAACTGCAAAGGTCTACAAATGTTAGTGTTTTCCCGTTTCGTTTCCATAGTATGCATTGTAAAGAGCGTATAGTTTAGCGTTGAATTGCATTTATATTATATTCAGTAATAGTCATGGCTTTTATAATGACATTTCGAGTATGAAAGACATCAAAAAACGCTATATTCATGTCTGACGAGAAGAGAGACACACGGAGTGAGAGAGATATGACGCCAGTAATAACTACCCGTCTATTCAAAAACAAAGCCAATTCTGGGTTTGCTTTAGAATATACACAAAATAACATTAAGCATAAACTTTTTGCCCATTCAGTGAACATTGGAGTGAAGAATAAATCAATATTAATCATATGTTTAATTAATTCTCGCTTCAAATGTCATTTAAAACATTGAATACTCTGTTTTCATCACCACTTCGTTATTTGAATCCCAGATATTGTTATAATATAATATATTAAAAAATATGCATATTTTGATTATTGTGTTATTTTTTACCTACATTTTTATTAAATAGACATAATATGAAATCAAATATAGACGAATGGTATGGTTAAAATCGTGCGAAAAATCTAATTTCTATGGACTCCCACCACTACTAAACATATACTGTACAGTATATACACTGATATAACTACTGGGATCGGCATCACTGGGTGTATGGCATTGTCGGCCATACCAACGGCTTTTATTGCTGTATTTCATGTCTCGTATGAATCATACAATTCATTGAAAACGGGGGATAAATTGAAGTATCGATTGTTAACTCGGAATAAAATATATATACAAATACTGTTCTCATATTCACTACGAGAGAGCTATAAAATCAATAATTTGTCACTTAATTCGTGAGATTATTAACAAATATATAAATTGAAAGACTCGTGTATTATACAGTACAGTATGTTTCCACGAGCTATGAATGAGTTTTATTTTTTCCTAAACTCGTATTCAATTGTATTTAGAATATCATTATTATTGCAATCGTTTTTTGTATGTGTTTTTCGACTTTGAGTCTTAAGGCAAAGGGCGAGGGAAGGGAACTGACGACCAGTTTTTTGACAAAACAATTCTGTGAGAAATGAAAGCAACAAAATGACGAAAAAGCATAACTGAGTCGAGAGTTTGACGTTAAGACAGGGGACCGGCATTTCAAGGGACAGATGACACGTTTACTGTATATACACTGTGTTTAACGCTATCCTGACTTCTAACTACATTTTCTCTTCATTTTCAGGTGTTTTCGACTCAACCTTTTTTGTGTTAAAATGTTTTATTTTTATTATATTTTTTACTGAATTGAAAAAACTTTCTTAAAGACGAGTTTATTGATCTCTAATAACAATCAGAATTTTTGTAAATTATTTATAAAATTTTAAAACAGAGAGAGAGAAAGAAGTTGTTATTTTAAAATTTCAAGATCGATAGTTTGTAATTAATGCAAACACACACTTATAAGCGAGAGTTGCATTAACTTATTGTCCATTATTAGCGTTTCTCTGGCTTTAACTCCAATCAACTTCCTCTCCAATCCTCCCTCTCGTCTCGCATTCACTGCTTTTATATTAATTTGATTTTCCCCTTATTTTGCAACCCATAGATAGCTTTCGCTGTTTTAATTTTATTACAAAATACATTGAGTGCTTAAAAATGTTTTATATTTCAAACAACGAAACATTAAAAATAATTTAAAATCAATATTATTTCTAAAAATATTTTGAGTTAAATGTTTATATATAATGTAGAATTAGAAATATTTTTAAAATCATGTACACGTTTACTATGTTTTCCAATATTTTAAATATATATTAAATATTTCTAATATATATTTAAATATAATGCATAAAAATTAATATCCAATTGAATGGATAATAATCTCAAAAATATTAATAATAACACGAATTAAAGGATTGTTTCCAAACTCAGAGCTTTACTACCCGAGAATACAGCCTATAATTAAAAGTGCTCACAAAAACAAAACGTAAAATTTAGTCATTATTTAATATTTAAGTCATTAAGCACTTATTATTGTTTTTATAAAACAAAATTTTAATGGAAATTAAGAGGAAAAATGAAATGATGTGAAGAAGTGATTCATTATTTATTGCATCGAAATAACGCAATAATAAGGCTATCGATGACCACAGAAACTCTCATACATTGAACAGACATATTATGCTTAACTATCATATAATTCATTGATAGCTATGTATTATCTAAAGAATAAAATCAATAGGAAATGGTATCTAAGGTTTTTGGGCGTCGGAAAAGGCCCTCCAAAACGATTATGAGATGATTTTGTATCCGACAAAAACACACCGATAGATATGTGGACCCATAAAAAGGCACCACTTTTTTGCTATCACTAAATGTGAATAACTCTTAGATTACATACGCTATCATTACAAAACGATTATGAGATGATTTTGTATCCGACAAAAACACACCGATAGATATGTGGACCCATAAAAAGGCACCACTTTTTTGCTATCACTAAATGTGAATAACTCTTAGATTACATACGCTATCATTCGTTAGGATCTTAAAGAAAAAGTCAAATATTATTTTTGGTTGTGTTTCGTCTGTAATTATAATCACAGAATTGTCGATCAATTGTTGCATTGATTGACATACTTTTGAAACGCTTTATTGAAAAATTCACGACTCTTTCTGTGTTAGACTTTATGCCGACTTATAAGATATTGAAGCATATATTTTATTATCAATGTTTACAATCCATTCAATCGATATTTACAACGAAAGTGTATTTCCAGTCGACTTTCATGTCTTCTCCAGCGTTTACTTTCGTTGCCAAAGCACTGGAAGGGAAGTTGTATTTGAATAATGATGTGAAAAAATGGGAGAAAGAAGTTGTTATTTTAAAATTTCAAGATCGATAGTTTGTAATTAATGCAAACACACACTTATAAGCGCCGGTGTCTTTGCCCCCAATGGCAATCCCAATGCATATTACATGCATATAATGCATATGCAATACCACTATTCACAGCATATATTTTGTTAGTTTGTTATAATTTATAAAAAGTATACTGTATTTCCTGATAATGAGTATTTAGTTTTGGCGAAAACAATGCCAAAACGAGAAGCCAATGGCCTTATAATCGTGGATAAGATATAAATAAATAGGAGACTAATTAAAACACGACTCATCACAAACTCCAGACTATTTGAAACAATATATCAGTAAATATTCAGTAAAAGCTCTCATATAGTCGTATAAAAGCTCTGAATTACATGTTTTGTTATTAATTGTTTAAAAATTCTCTATAGATTTAATGACAGCATAAATTTTCAAGTGTTTTAATGACTACTTTTAAACTTCAAAACAAATAAAAATGGTTTTAATGAAATTTATTGCACTTTTATTTCTTTGGATGTATTGAGAGAAACATTTTCTATTAATTACATCACTGTTTGTGGAAAAACTAGAGAAATAATTATTTTGCAATTCTTTTAATTTGAAAACTTATTTCCTTTAAAACTCTTTTCAAGAGATAAGAAAAAAGTCTCGAAATAATAATTCTTGTTTTTAACAGATTTCTGCGAAAAATCCAATCATTTTTAAATGTTTTATTATTTAGTCTCTCTCTCTCTCTCTCTCTCTCTCTCTCTCTTAAAATTTTATAAATAATTTACAAAAATTCTGATTGTTATTAGAGATCAATAAACTCGTCTTTAAGAAAGTTTTTTCAATTCAGTAAAAATATAATAAAAATAAAACATTTTAACACAAAAAAGGTTGAGTCGAAAACACCTGAAAATGAAGAGAAAATGTAGTTAGAAGTCAGGATAGCGTTAAACACAGTGTATATACAGCGAACGTGTCATCTGTCCCTTGAAATGCCGGTCCCCTGTCTTAACGTCAAACTCTCGACTCAGTTATGCTTTTTCGTCATTTTGTTGCTTTCATTTCTCACAGAATTGTTTTGTGAAAAAACTGGTCGTCAGTTCCCTTCCCTCGCCCTTTGCCTTAAGACTCAAAGTCGAAAAACACATACAAAAAACGATTGCAATAATAATGATATTCTAAATACAATTGAATACGAGTTTAGCAAAAAATAAAACTCATTCATAGCTCGTGGAAACATACTGTACTGTACTGTACATATAATACACGAGTCTTTCAATTTATATATATATATATATATATATATTTGTTAATAATCTCACGAATTAAGTGACAAATTATTGATTTTATAGCTCTCTCGTAGTGAATATGAGAACAGTATTTGTATATATATTTTATTCCGAGTTAACAATCGATACTTCAATTTATCCCCCGTTTTCAATGAATTGTATGATTCATACGAGACATGAAATACAGCAATAAAAGCCGTTGGTATGGCCGCCAAT